GAATACTCTCAAAGACTCTTCTTATTTTAATGCTCATTTCAGAGATTAAAATAAAAAATAGACTTTATTGGGAAAAAAAAGAAAAAAAAACTCGAACCAAAACCCACGACACAAGAAACAGTAGCTATCCCTGTTCACTGTATCATAGCTACTTGCAAGAAGCATATAGCAGAGAGCTTAAACAATGCGATATATTGCAATTGTAAATCTGTACTTTAGCCTATCATACAAAATATGCCCTGTTCTCTCTTCTATTTTCTTCTTTGCTTTTAAACCAGACAAAATGAAGAGATTACTTTTCAGACTGTGTAAAGAAGTGATAATTCTTCAGAACAGTTGAAAAATTCTACTTTAACATGTTTCCCCATCCTTCACAGAAGGAAGCCTCATGCACTCACACATATAGCCTGTATGATTTGCTTTAAGATACCTTTGTGGGTTTCATTGCTTGTTAGAAAAAAATAAAGAGACTGCATAGTTTATGTAACATGAAATACACATCCAAACACAGCCTAAAACAGTATGAGAGACTACTACAAGAGTCATTAATAGGGGTAGCAGACCAATATTAAACAACCAAAGACCTACGTGAGGTCCAGAAGTGAACTTTTAGTTTTTTTCTTAAAAAGTAATCAAGATAAGTAGGAAAGCACCCACCCACACAGAGCTATTTCTGTACTCTTACCTGTTTCTCATGAAATCCTAACCCAACCTTTCCCATCTCCTTCCCCAATATTAACTCTCTGCCTCACCTCCTCAGTCTTGCAGTGCTTACCTTCTAAGTGTCTCCCCGCTATCCCATAGACATTCCTTAGGTAGAAAACCAACTCAGGGCCATACAGATATTTTTAAACAATGTCTACACACCTCAGCGATACTATCGGGTAGCAACAGACCTAGCATAAGCGGATAGACAGTAACTACAAAATGAAAACTTTAATGCTTAGTAATCTTGCTGTTGGTAGGAAAAACCCTGGAGCTACTCAAGCTACAACTAAGACTAATCATAGAAAAGGGAGTACTAGCACTTAAAAGTTACAGGAAAATAGTTCACCTGTGAGAAAGAAACCACATTTGTTCAGTTTAATTTGATTACTACCTGGCACCTGCATCAGCAGATAAATAGATTCCAGTCTTACAGTAGAAGATCCCCAAACACATTCTCAGAGTGGTCAGGTTCTTAAATAGTAACACAAAACTGGAAGTAGTAAATGGTGAGTGTGGAAAAGCAATTACTATTTTTAAGGGCTATTGTAGTATAATCATTTATTACATAAATCATAACTGTCTATTATTTTGTTCCTTTTGTTTGTTCCTTGAATTCATCTTCTAACGCATTTTTATGCAGAACTCTCCTAGTTCTTCAGATCAGGCTCTATTTTTCATTACATGCATCAACTGTCCCCATCATGACTGGAGACTCCAAACACAGCTGCAATACCTAGAAATACATAAATGTCTTTCTGCAGGAACCATTTTATTACAGAGATGTCAAACTGTATCCCCTTTATGAAAAATGCTGATATTTAGACTTTTCATCCTAATTTGAGACAAAACCAAGTGCTGAAATATTCAGAGTTTTTTGTAAAATGGATATTCCATTTTTCAGTCAGCTCTACAGAGACCCATTAGAGCATGCAGGCCATCTTCCTTCGCATGCAAGAGTATTCCAGATACCATATTACTCAGTGTTTTTTCCAGCCTGGTTAGATTTTTCACAACCTGTTTTTGTTAGTTTTCTGGTGCTGCAAATGTGATTATTTGATTTCTTTCAACTGAAACATACAGAGACATTCACAGGATATAAATCCATATACTTTATCCAATAAAGAAAAAGAGCAATAATGTGAAAGATTCCTTGTGAAAAGTTTTCTGACGTAAAGGGTAATATTTTTTTTCTTCTTCATGACATGGAGCATATGCACCTCCAAAAATATCCCTCGATAAAATAGAACATGGGTCTGGAATTCACTGAAACTGTTTTCTTCCTGTATGCCACAGCACTTAATTCAAGAGATGCTGTGTTACACCTAACTGAGAGGCCAAAGTACATAATATATACTCATATTCCAACCACTTCAGGTTTTGATCACTTTTCCATTTAAGTAAAGCATTAAGTAAAATGTCCTAAAGTGTTGCACTCAATTATATGAAACTGGACAGTTTGCATGTTCCATCTTCTCTTTAATGTATCTTCATTTATAATATGCTTCAGAGTATATGGGTATGGCAGGTGATAGGTAAGGATGAATTTATTAATAACAAAAGGAATTCCATTGTTAATAATGCAACAAATCTCTAGCCATCTGTATCCAATTTTATGTTTATTACTCCAGAAATAGTTAACAGAAAGCTTAAAAGAGATTTTTCAGGAGAAAAACATCTATTTTAGAATGATACCTTAAAATACATTATATTCATAGATATTGAGGGATTGTTATGAGCTCCTTCAACCAGAAGGGCCATAGAATTTCACTCTAATTCCTGTATTAGGCCCTTAACCAACAGGTGATGTAGACCATCAAGTCTATAACCCCATGTTTTTTTTAAATAGATGACTGAAATAAGAAAATAGGCTAAGAGCTCAGACGAGAGCTCTGTTTTCTTGGGAGTACTTGAGAAAGATCTTTCCTAAAAAACCATCCAGGGCAGTCCAGGAGAGGGTTTGAAGAGGGGAAACTAGTATCTACACCCTTACTTACAATTTTCTTATTCTCCCTTTTGCTTTATTTTGGAAGTATGATGTGAATTGGAGAAGCTCATCACCAACAGCTAGCAGTTACCTTTAGGGTAGGGGTCTGTTGCCAGGGGACGAGGTCTGAACACGTTCCTAGTGAGGCACAGGACTCTGATGGGTTCA